AAAGGCTTAAAATCAATGATATTTTGTTATTTTAAGTAAAAAAAATGAAAAAAATGAAAAAAAAAGAATCAAATGGCAGTTAGGGGAGTCGAACCCGGACCCTGGGGGTATAGGGTGTCGGATTGGTGACAAGCTCCCTCCCCACTGCGCCACGACGACAAAGGGCTTTTCCAGCCCACACGACCCTGGTTCGACTCCCCATAGCGCCAATTGATTCTAGTTTTTGAAGTTTTTCAATTGAAATAGTATAAATCTACAATAATTTGAGAGTTTTTACATAAATTTCAATCTTTGTCAGCTTAAAGATTCCTGAAAAAAGCTAAAGAAAAGGAAAAAGTTCAAGAATAAGCTGGTTTTTTGGTTATTTTGTTAGTTTTTTAGTCAAATCACAAGACTAACTTGCAAAAAATACTCAAAATCAAGCCCATTTTACAGTCCATTTCGTTTCTTATCGAAACTTTTACAAGAATAGTGGTTTTTTTTGCGTAAATGAACCGGATCTCATTCTTTTCTTTTAGCCACCAAATTTCTATAACTAATCCCGAAATTTCCCGATCTCCGATCGAAATTTTGAGCCCAAATTTCCCGCCCACATTGTCGCATTTCTTTTTTTAACAATTCCCCCATTCTTTCTCCCCATTTTCACCTCTAATCCCCGCGTTTAAATGAGCTAAAAAAAATGAGTAGATTCAATGATTCGACTCGCTTTTAAAACTCTATAACTTTTTATGGAGATTGTATTATTATTATTTTTTTATATCTTTGTTTAGAGAATGATTCACGCTTTCAAATGAGCTTTCAGCTTTCATATAGTTTAATATAATAAAGCTTTCAAATGAGCTCAAATAAAGCTTAATTGAATAAATGAATCCTGAGAAAATCAAGCCTCTTTTAAAACCCTATAACTTTTTATGGAGATTGTATTATTATTATTTTTTTTATATCGTTGTTTAGAGAATGATTCAGGCTTTCAAATGAGATCAAATAAAGCTTAAATGAACAAATGAATCCTAAGAAAATCAAGGGACAAAAGACTGTAAAGTTTTCAAGAAAAATCAAGAAAATCAAGCCGCTTTTAAAACCCTATAACTTTTGATAGAGATTAGATACTTTTACTTTCTTTATATCGTTGTTTAGAGAATGATTCAGGCTTTCAAATGAGATCAAATAAAGCTTAATTGGATAAACCAATCCTAAGAAAATCAAGCCACAAAACACTGTAAAGTTTTTTGTGGAATTGTAATCTAAAATTTGTTTTCCGGGTTGGGGAATCGATTAAAATTCGTTTTGATTAAGTCTTCCAATTGAAATTTATTTGAAATAAAACAGTTTAAGCCAAATCTAGCTCACAAATGAATAACTCATTGTTTTTAATCAAATCACAAGGCTAATTTGAAAAAGATACTCAAAATCAAGCCCATTTTACAGTCCATTTCGTTTCTTATCGAAACTTTTACAAGAATAGTGGTTTTTTTGCGTAAATGAACTGGATCCTCCTCTTTCTTCCGTCTCATTCATTCAGGTAAAACAACAACCACAACGATCCACACAAGTGCCCCAACCCTCACACCCAAAGCCAATAGTCGACCATTCCCACTTGAAAAATGATAGCGCCAACATACCGCTCGTACAAAGTTTCCCAGCTCAAGTTTCCTAGCCCAAGCTTCCTAGCCCAAGTTTCCTAGCCCAAGCTTCCTAGCCCAAGTTTCCTAGCCCAAAGTTTCCTAGCCCAAGTTTCCTAGCCCAAGCTTCCTTGCCCAGGTTTCCTAGCCCAAGCTTCCTAGCCCAAGTTTCCTAGCCCAAGTTTCCTAGCCCAAGCTTCCTTGCCCAGGTTTCCTAGCCCAAGCTTCCTAGCCCAAGCTTCCTAGCCCAAGCTTCCTAGCCCAAGCTTCCTTGCCCAGGTTTCCTAGCCCAAGTTTCCTAGCCCAAGCTTCCTTGCCCAGGTTTCCTAGCCCAAGTTTCCTAGCCCAAGTTTCCTAGCCCAAGCTTCCTTGCCCAGGTTTCCTAGCCCAAGCTTCCTTGCCCAGGTTTCCTAGCCCAAGCTTCCTTGCCCAGGTTTCCTAGCCCAAGCTTCCTAGCCCAAGTTTCCTAGCCCAAGCTTCCTAGCCCAAGTTTCCTAGCCCAAAGTTTCCTTGCCCAAAGTTTCCTTGCCCAAGTTTCCTAGCACCTAGCCACCAAATTCCTATAACTAATCCCGAATTCTCCCGATCTCCGATCGAAATTTTGAGCCCAAATTTCCCCACCACATTGTCGCATTTCTTTTTTCAACAATTCCCCCATTATTTTCCCCATTTTCACCTCTAATCCCCGCGTTCAAATGGGTTAAAAAAACTCCAATACCTATAAAGACGAAAGTATATTTTCACGTCTTTTTCTTTCACCTTCCCAGAAAAAATCTCATTTTTCCCCGATCGCATCTGGCTTCTCCCAATACTTTTCTTTATTTGCTTTATTTCACATTTTCAATTTTTCTAAACTTTTTAAGATATTCAACTAAATACCTAAGCTTTACTATTCAAAAAGTTGATCTTCAACCCAATAAAAAACGAAAAACTAAGTTTGATCAACCGAAAACTACAAAACACAATCGTTGACGAGCAAAAAATGTTTAATTATTCAACAATTTCTCAACAAATTTCTGTGTGAAGGTTAAGAATTGAAAGAAAAGAAAGAAAAGAAAGAAAAGAAAAGAGAAATTCAAGATAGAAAGATCAAAAAAAGTGAATTCTCACGAAAATTCACCAATTCGACACCAAAAGGAAACCTTTTAAACAAAAATTTCGAAAAACAAAAGCTTTTTTCGTCATAAATTTAACAATTAATCTATTTATATTTATTAAATCTTGTTATTTATTCACTTATTTACGATTTATTATCGATTTTTCTTTATCGAATCTTATTTTTTGCTATAAAATCCTTTTATAGCAACTTGCGACCCTAAGTCGCATCCAGAATTTCAAAGCGACTTGAAAATTGTGGAAATTTCTAGAAGTACACGTAGTAATCCGTATCAAATTTTGATTACTATCCCAATCCATATCAATTTCCACATCCCATTCCCATTTTCCCATCCCACCGGTCGATCGGTCGGTTCCCATTCATCTTTCCCTTTGATATCTTCTCCTCTATAGGAAAATTGAAAATACCGTATTTTCTCTAATAGTAGTGCACCCCAGCATCCCAGAGTTGGTGACCAGTATCCCAGAGTTGGTGACCAGCATCCCAGAGTTGGTGACCAGCATCCCAGAGTTGGTGACCAGCATCCCAGAGTTGGTGACCAGCATCCCAGAGTTGGTGACCAGCATCACAGAGTTGGTGACCAGCATCCCAGAGTTGGTGACCAGCATCCAGAGTTGGTGACCAGCATCCCAGAGTTGGTGACTATTTTACGGCTCTCAAAGTTTTCACAAAAGCTCAACACCCAAATCCCCAACTAGATCTCATCCTCAGCTACATTTTCCGACCTCACATCGATAGGTTTTGATAAGCGGTTCTCGAGATTTCGAGGAATTTAGGTGAAGCTTACTATTGCATTACTATTAGGTTGATGCATAAGTCATATTAAGATAAAATTTCAAGTTTAAGCACAGACAAAAGCCACGTTTAAGCAAAAAGATTACAATTTTCACTAAATTTACCTTCACTTCTTTTCCTTTTCCCTAAACAAACACCCGTTCTTTGACCCTTTTTCTTCCCCCTTTCTTCCATCCGTTTCAAATGCAGCTCATTCTGAACAACTCATTGTTTTTTCTTTCTCATTTTCTCACTTTTCTTTAGACAAAAATTTCCGGGCTTTATTTTTGTCTTGAATAGAAATGGAAAACAATTTAAGGTGGTTTTAAGCTTTTCAATGTTACTTTTAGAAGATTGAGTACAATTTAGGTTCTGAGAGTTTTTAGGTTGTTTTAGTTTGGCTTTAGGTTGGCTTTGGTTTGACTTTGGTTTAGCTTTAGTTCGGCTTTAGATTGGCTTTAGATTGGCTTTAGATTGGCTTCAGTTTGGCTTTGGTTTGGCGTCAGTTCGGCTCTAGTTTGGCTTTAGTTTAGCTTTAGTTTGGCTTTAGATTGGCTTTGGTTTAGCTTTAGTTTAGCTTTAGTTTGACTTTAATTTGGCTTTAATTTGACTTTAGTTTGACTTTAGTTTTAGTTTGGCTTTAGTTTAGCTTCTGTTTGGCTTTAGTTTAGCTTCGGTTTGGCTTTAGATTGGCTTTGGTTTGGCTATAGTTTGGCTATAGTTTGGCTTCAGTTTGGCTTCAGTTTGGCTTTAGTTTAGCTTTAGTTTGGCTTCAGTTTGGCTTCAGTTTAGCTTTAGTTTGGCTTTAGTTTGGCTTTAGTTTGGCTTAGATTTGGGCTATAAGAAGTCAATAGTTGACGATATATCGTCTGGAATTAGTTAATCAAAAACAGGTTTGAAGGATGGCTCTAGAACTTGGGACTGGTGTTAAGTGTTAACTTGACGAAGACTTTTTCGACTTAGCGCTTCTGGAGTTGAGTCCAGACTTTGCCAAATCCAGGGAAATGATGAATTTCAGCCAATTATGAATGAGTGGATCTAGACGCGTCCAACCATCAAGTATTTGGTATCATTTAATAAAATACTTGATGTCTCTTCGAACTCTTCTCAGGCATTACAGGCTCACTTCTGTTAAAGGCTCACTTCTGTTACCGGCTTGCATTACAGAAGCCTTTGAGACGATAAGAAAGGATGATTTTTGATCATCCGTTCTTGATTTTTGATGATCCATCCTATCGTCTTATCATCTTATCGTCTAAAAGGCTTAGATTTCTTGCTTTCTATCTTTCTTTCTATTTAATATAGTCTTACAGTAGACAATTGTCGACAATAACTGTAAAAAGACTGAAGGCTCTTGCTTTGTTTGTTGCTTTCTTTCTTTCTTTCTTTCTTTCGTTCTTTCTTTATTTCTTTATTTCTTTCTTTGTTCATAATTTTCTTATCTTAAACTTGCTTAACTTTTTTTGCTTAACAAATTCTTTTAGTTAATGGAAAACGATTCCTCGTCGATTTACGAGACACTCAGAAATGAAACAAATCCTTCAGAAGATCAACAAAAGGAAATGGAAATCCCGTCTGCATTAACAGCAGACTATATTGAAATGATTTATCTATGCTTTGTGATCATTGTCGGAACACCGTCGAATTGTTTCATTCTCAGGAGATTGTGTCAGGATTTAAAACGAACGCCAAAAGACAGTGTTAAGGTCAGTTTTTCCTCAATACTTTGATCTATAAATGCACTGTTTCAGTGCACGAGAAAGGGTTTGTTTACAGCTGATTTTAAGCTAGTTAAGGCATGGCTATTTTGGCTAAAATCGCTATTTTTAAAGCATTAAAATTGGGTAATCAAAATCGAGCTCAAAAAATTTACCCTTATTTGAGAAAATCTAAGTTTAAAAGAGAAAAACGAGCAAGGAATTAACTATTTTTTCCTCATGACTTCAGTGATCAATCTATTTAAATCAATGTTTCATTGAAAAGCGAGCTTTTTATATAAGAAAATCTTGCAAACGTGCTATTCACCGATTTCCTTAAATACTCGATTGTTTCCTCCTTTTTCCTCCTTTTTCCCCCTTTTTTTCCCCTTTCATCGCTCACTACCAAATTCGCTTTTCACCAATTTTCCCCCACCAATTCCCTTTCAACCAATTCCCTTAAATTATTCCCGAAATTCCGCTTTCACATAGTAAATTTCACATTTAAAATAGCTATTTTTGTTTTAGCATTTAAAAAAAACAATTTTTAGGCTGGTTTCCTCATACTGAAGATCAATTTGAACATCTCCGATTTACTCCTTTTGTGCATTTTGGCATTTGGAAAGCTTTTATGGTTGTTGACGTATCAATGGCCTTGTAAGTTTGGGAATTGATTACGATAGAAAAAGAGAAGTAAAGGAATAAAGAGTTTATGGTTGTTGACGTATCAATGGCCTTGTAAGTTTGGGAATTGATTACGATAGAGAAAGAGAAGTGAAGGAATAAAGAAGTAAAGGAATAGAGTTTATGGTTGTTGACGTATCAATGGCCTTGTAAGTTTGGGAATAGATTACGGTAGAAAAGGAGAAGTAAAAGAATAAAGAAGTGAAGGAAAAGAAAAAGTTGATTTGGAAGAGGGAAGCCTAAGCTCGACCTTTCGATTCCGGCATCTAACCATTGAGCCATTTGGTAGCTTGAATTGCTGAGAGAAAAAGGAAACACAAGAAAGAAGGAAGAAAAAGAAAAGAGACGAGAGACGGGATTGAACCCTCGATCTCTTGCTTTCCAGGCTCTAGCCTCTAACCACTGAGCCATTCGGTAGCTTGATCTATCAAGAGAAAAAGGGAAACACAAGGAAGAAGGAAGAAAAAAGGAAGAGGAGGGAGTAGATTCCCGAGACGGGATTGAACCCTCGATCTCTTGCTTTCTAGGCTCTAGCCGCTAACCACTGAGCCATCCGGTAGCTTGATCTGTTAAGAGAAAAAGGAAACACAAGGAAGAAGAAGAAAGAAAAAAGTAAATACCTTCAGAACCACAAGAATCTTGGCAAATTAGGGTACAACTATTGGCATTACAGTACGAAACTTAAGCTACGATTTGCATCAAATTACAGTACGAATCTCAAGCTACAATATGAAACCAATCGCAAGTCGATCGGACGCCTGTAGACTTAAAACTCCGGTCAAAATACACTACAGAGGCCGGAGTTTTAGATCTTGACCTACAGGCGTCCGAGCGAGTTGCGGTTGATTTCATTCGATTCCTCATCAAATTCTACTATATAGTGAGCAATATTAGATTAAGCGTTTACTTGTAAAAATATCGAGAAAACCGGTGTTATACTATAGAGACTGGAGTCATGTAAAACACCGGTTTTCTCGATATTTTTACAAGTAAGCGCTGAATCTAATATTGCTCATTATATAGTAGAATTTGATGAGGAATCGAATGAAATTAACCGCAAGTTGCTCGGACGCTTGTAGGTCGAGATCTAGTGTATTTTGTAGTGTAGTGTCTCTAGTGTATTTTGACCAGAGTTTTAGGTCTACAGGCGTCATGGAGACAAACAGATTAGACAGACAGATTAGACAGACAGACAGACAGACAGATAGACAGACAGACAGACAAACAGACAGACAGAGAGACAAACAGACAGATTAGACAGACAGACAAACAGACGTTTAGTACAGTACAGTACAGTACATTGAAATCGATTTTCAGGGGGCTCAGCTTTGTGCAAACTCTACAATTTCGGCTCAATGGTTTCACTATACATTTCGTCGAATATCGTCGTTTGTATAGCGTTGGATCGACTTCGAAATGTCCTCGGCGCAAGCAAATTGAGAAGAGGAAAAGGCGCAAATGTTTGTAATCTTTCTTTTTACAATAAGAATCTCATTTAGGGAAGTGTGGTGCATTTGCTTTTGATTGGTTCATGGTTTTTGGCGATTCTCTGGTCAATTCCACAGCTAATCGTCTGGGATGTGCAAGAGGTGGTGCCAGGCTTCTCACAATGCACCGATATCTGGATGATCAAGAAGTGAGGCGGTTTTTCTTACCACAGATGTTCAAAAGAAGCCAAAAAAAAACAATCCAGGCTAGGCTGCTAAGCTTTGACACTTGTTATTACGCAAAAGTCCTAGATCTCTACTTGAATCAGGCCTTTACTTGACTCAGTTGAGTCCATAATTAAGTTATTATAGTTTTTTTTAATAGTCATCAACTCGCCTGGGTGCACTACTATTAGAGAAAATACGGTATAAAGAATAAGACTTTAAAACTTAATGAAGAACTGAAAAGAAAAAGAAGGCGAGCGCTGGATTGAACCTAGCGTCATAGCATTGGACGCCTCGTAGTCTATCGACTTACCACTTAGGCTTAGGCTTAGGCTTAGGCTTGGACTTAGTGCGTAGGCTACAAAGCGTGCTACGCGCCTAGGTTACAAAGTCTATTCCCCTGGGTTTAAAAGGGCTATACCCCCAATTTCCAAGGATCTCAGCCAGTTCTCGGAGCTAAGGGACACCCGTTTGGCGATGCTCATCCGCCCCCCATAGGAGCATCCTGGCAAATTTTCAGGTCAATCTGGTGTCTGGAAGTTGAGATATATTAGGCTTAGGCTTAGGCTTAAGCTTAGGCTTAGGTTTAGGCTTACCAAGTTAGCGGCTTACCGAATAACCAAGAATGCCAGCGATGGTAGCCAGTAACCAGCGGTGGCTTAACTTCACGTTATAAAGGCTTTAGTCCAAACCTTTCTAAGCTTGAAATCTTTAAATCTAAAATACAATTTCATCTTCAATCTTCAGACATCTGATCCACTTTGGTCGGGCAAAGGAAAGTGATTACGGTTTTTTGTACAGCACTGTCATGTCATCCGCTTATGATATTTCACATTTGGTGAGTTTAAAGAAAAAGAAATTCACTTGAAAGAACCCTAACTCTATTCGGGAATTCATTTTCATCTATTTCTGTTTATTTAAACTCTAAATCTAAATAAATCATTAATTATCCCTAATTTCCTTCCTCTTCATTTTCTTCAAATTTTATCTCGAATTCTTTCAAAATTCATCAATTTTATTTCAGTTTTTCGTCTTTTGGGGTCCACTAATTGTTCTCATTAAATGCTACGTCATCATTGCGATTCGATTAGTGAAATACTCAAGAAGAGCGCCTGGACAACCGGTGAGGAAAAAAAGCATATTGAAGAGGGAAATTTGAAGGGAAGTACTAGATAAAGGGAAGTACTAGATGAAGGGAAATGCTAGATGAAGGGAAGTACTAGATGAAGGGAAGTACTAGATGAAGGGAAGTACTAGCTGAAGGGAAGTACTAGATGAAAGTAAAACAAGTACTAGATGATATAAATCTATAAAAATTATATTAAAGATGGGAAAGATTAAGGATTTCATCTGAAACAGATGTTCCAGAACAGGGAACAAATCGGAAAAAAACCTTCAAAACCTGAAGGAATGTCGGAAAATGTTGATAAAGCCAAATTCTCTATACTTTTTCTCAAAATTGTCCCAAATTCTTGCTTATTTAAGTCTGAAAAACGATTTTCTGGTACATTGCAAAGGAAATTATTCAAGAAGAAGGATTTTGAAAGGCTTACAAAGGTTTAGAAAGGTTTAGAAAGGCTTAGAAAGGCTTAGAAAGGCTTAGAAAGGCTTAGAAAGGCTTAGAAAGGCTTAGAAAGGCTTAGAAAGGCTTAGAAAGGCTTAGAAAGGCTTAGAACGGCTTAGAAAGGTTTAGAAAGGTTTAGAAAGGCTTAGAAAGGCTTAGAAAGGCTTAGAAAGGCTTAGAACGGCTTAGAAAGGTTTAGAAAGGCTTAGAACGGCTTAGAAAGGTTTAGAAAGGCTTCGAAAGGCTTTGAGACTTAGAAAGTTAAAATTTTGGACAAAAATGCGTAGGAAGTTAAAGTTTTGAACCTAATAATGCTTAGAAAGTCAAGTTTTGCACTTCTTGATGCTTAGAAAGTCCAATATTCAATTTAAAGTAATTCAAGAGCTATTTTTGACTTAAAACTTATCAATGAATAGAACTCGTATAAGAAAATCTTGTTTATTAAGTTTTTATGAACCATTTAGAGTCCCATGATTCGCCCGGATATGACTTCTGGACCGTCTGGTGTTGAGCAATCGATCTCACTGCATCGTGAGTGTTTATGAATTTACTTATAGATTAGTCACCTACGGTAGTCCCTCAACAATCTATAAGCCAGATAGCAAAGCGGAAATCGACAGTACAATGCGTACAATGCGTACAGTTACCTACAGCACTCAGCACTACAGGCAAAACCCTACAGCACTCAAATTCTACAGTAATCGGGAAACCTATAGCAGCCAAATTCTAGAGTAATCCTGGAACTTACAGTACACAAATTCTACAGTAATCCGGAAACCAATAGCAGCCAAATTCTAAAGTAATCCGAGAACCAATAGCAGCCAAATTCTAAAGTAATCCGGGAACCAATAGCAGCCAAACTCTACATTAATCCTGGGAACCTATAGCAGCCAAATTCTAAAGTAATCCGGGAACCAATAGCAGCCAAACTCTACATTAATCCTGGGAACCTATAGCAGCCAAATTCTACAGTAATCCTGGGAACCTATAGCAGCCAAACTCTACAGTAATCCTGGGAACCTATAGCAGCCAAATTCTACAGTAATCCTGGGAACCTATAGCAGCCAAACTCTACAGTAATCCTGGGAACCTATAGCAGCCAAATTCTACAGTAACCCGGGAACTAATAGCATCCAAATTCTACAGTAATCCGGAAACCTATAGCAGCCAAATTCTACAGTAACCCGGGAACTAATAGCATCCAAATTCTACAGTAATCCGGAAACCTATAGCAGCCAAATTCTACAGTAACCCGGGAACCTATAGCAGCCAAATTCTAAAGTAATCCGGGAACCAATAGCAGCCAAATTCTACAGTAATCCTGGAAACCAATAGCAGCCAAATTCTACAGTAATCCTGGGAACCTATAGCAGCCAAATTCTACCGTAGTCCTGGAACCTAGCAGCCAAACTCTACAGTAATCCTGGGAACCAATAGCAGCCAAACTCTACAGTAATCCGGAAACCAATAGCAGCCAAATTCTACAGCAATCCGGGAACCTAGCAGCCAAACTCTACAGTAATCCCTGATAAAACCGTTTGAGATGACGAAAACGATTCGATTCAATTAGAAGCCTGGCGCTGAGCGGAATCCTGCCCAATCTGACTTCCCTTTTTCACTTTCTAGAACTTCTAACCTTTTCCAGAACTTCTAAACCAGTCTATACAATCAAAAACTTGTTCTAACATTTAGAAACTCTATCAAAATTGATATCAAACTTATCTATATCAAAAAGTATCGCTGCTCTTTAGAATTCGAAACTGCTTCCACGACTGTATCCATCGATCGCCACAGCACACCGCGGGTAAACGTTATCGCAACTCGCACGTTATCTAACCCGCATGAGGTTCGAGTTTACCATTTGATTATGGTGTAAAATTGGTTTAATAAGATCGATTATTGTGTAAAATTGGTTTAGTAAGATCGATTATCATGTAAAACTGGTCTAGTAAGATTGTTTTTGATGCAAAACTGGTTTAGCAAGATCGATTATGATATAAAATTGGTCTAATAAGATTGTTTATGATATAAAACCGATCTAGTAAGATCGATTATGGTGTAAAATTGGTTTAGTAAGATTGTTTATGATATAAAACTGGTCTAATAAGATTGATTATCATGTAAAGCTGGTCTAATAAGAATGTTTATGGTGTAAAATTGGTTTAGTAAGATTGTTTATGATATAAAAGACTGTAAGACTGGTCTAATAAGATTGTTTATGATGTAAAATTGATCTAATAAGATTGTTTATCATGTAAAACTGGTCTAGTAAAATCGATTATTGTGTAAGACTGGTTTAGCAAGATTGTTTATGATATGAAACTGGTCTAATAAGATCGATTATCATGTAAATTCTTAGTAAGAAAGAGAAAGAGTAAAGTTTGGCATGTTAAAATTCCGAGAAACGATCGTTTTCATCTCTTTTTTGTTATGAAACCCTGATTGAATTTAAAATATTGTGAAATTGTTGTGTTTTCTTTGTAAAAACTGAGACTTTTGAGCAATTTTGGCTCTGAAAACTCTTTAAGCTCTGAAAATATTGAAACTATACCTGATTTTTGTCCTTTAAAGCCTTGAATTTCTTTAGATTTCGGGTATTCGACGATCTTTTGACCGATACAGTGAACGAGTGCCCAGCCCTGGATTGAGATCGAGTTCAAGATTAGGCAGTGCTCTTCCATTTACGAAATATTTTCACCGAAATGGACACAGTATGGACAATATCTTTTCAAAAGGTGAGTCTAGAGAGGAAAAGAAAGAATTCTAAAGGGATATATGAAATATATAATGGGAAATGACCGAGCTGGAAGTCACACTATCTAATGGAGAATTTTTGAGTAGGAAAGGGATAAATCTGGCTTTGATATCTACCGTAGCTTTTAAAACTTTTTCTGATAGATTTTACTGCTTTATACTTCTGGAAAGCTGAAGCTGGAAGTCACACTATCTAATAAACAATTTTTTAGCTACTCTACTCAAAATTTAAGATATTCAGTCTACATAGTATAGTAAAAAAAAGTAAATAGTAAAAGTACCGTAAAAAACGTCTTTTCTTTTATCAAACTACAGTATGACATCCAATTTGTAGAAAAAGAATTCATTTAAGAGGCTAGCCTCAAAATTGGAAGTGATTTCTTTGACGAAACGAGTTCACCTAGAAAACTCATCGACTTTGATGAATTTTGCTAAACATGTTAAACAAAATTTTCATATTGGAGCGCACATTATCTAATGAATAAGTTTAGCTTACTGTAGCTTTCATTAGATTTTTTTCAAAGTTGCGTAATTGAACCGGAGATGTTTAGGTGAACTGAGGTGCGCCGGAAAGGGTGCGTTTGCTTGAAAAATCATTTCAATCAGAGATTTTCAAATTCTAGATGTTCAAATTCCAGAAAAAGAGGTTTATAAAGTATAAAGATCAACGATAAGGGATAAAGATCAACAAATAAAGATCAATGCTATATTCAGTGATAACTTCAAGATAAACGCACTTATTACTGTTTATAAACACTTGAAAACATTTAAAGATTGATTTGAGTAAAAGGAAAAAGATTTTGACAGCGAGGGGATTCGAACCAGCGAAGGAGGGGATGAGAGGCTAGCGCACTATCCACTACACCACCGGGTCTCTAGACCGCGAAGAATAATTTAGCCTCATATCGACCCCGCGGCAATCTTTCAAAACATTTTTCTCAAAAACAATGTTTTTTCTTTTCTTCCTCCTTGTATTCCTTCTTTTTTCACCTCTAGAATAACGCCGGATAGCTCAGTGGTTAGAGCGTCGGGCTGGGAATCGAAAAGTCCTTTGATCCGCGAGGGTTCAATCCCTCTTCAAGAAATTTTTCTTTGCCTTTCTTTACTTTAATTATTTTATTTATTTTAGATGATGGAACACCACCAAAGAAAATGTCTCGAGTCTCGGATACACTTTCGGGCAAAGTGCCAGCATGGAGGAGGCAGTTACGAAGCAAAGTTGGAGATTAAAACAATCATTTCACTAGAATTTAGATTTCACTAGTAATTCGAGTACTAATCGTTCTAGAATTACTAGAACGATTAGTAAAAAGTACAAAGATTTAAATGTCATTTAAAGTTCGACAAAACATTTCTATTTAATTTAGGTCTTTCGAACAACACTCCTCGTCGTGATCGCTCATTTTCTTTTCTGGTTTCCTTACAATTTTCTCGCCATCATGAACTATATAAATGAGAATTTGTATCAGTGAGTTTTTTTCTTTTGAATACTTTCAACGATTAGTACAAAGTACAAAGTACAAAGTCCAAAGTACAAAGTACAAAATACAAAGTAAAGTTAAGCAATGCTTAAAGTAAAGTTAAGCAATGCTTAAAGTAAAGTTAAGCAATGCTTAAAGTAAAGTTAAGCAATGCTTAAAGTAAAGCTAAGCAATGCTTAAAGTAAAGTTAAGCAATGCTTAAAGTAAAGTTAAGCAATGCTTAAAGTAAAGCTAAGCAATGCTTAAACGCTTAAAAGCTTTGTAAATCGATGAATAACTTGATAAAGATTGAATTGAATTGAATGGTTGATTGAATTCTAATTATTTGATAACCTAATGGCACTAGGGATCAGTTCTCTAGATTCCTTTGATCAGTTTTGATTTGATTAGGTTTAGAAGAAAGTTCTTGGAAAGAGATTGACTGGCTTTTCTTTTGAATACTTTCAACGATTAGTACAAAGTACAAAGTACAAAGTAAAGCAATGCTTAAACGCTTAAAAGATTTGTAAATCGATGCATAACTTGATGAAAATTGAATTGAATTAGATTGAATTGAATTAGATTGAATTCTAATTATTTGATAACCTAATGTCACTAGGGATCAGTTCTCTAGATTCCTTTGATCAGTTTTGATTTGATTAAGTTTACAAGAAAGTTCTTGGAAAGAGTTTCACTGGAATTTGTTTAAAGCGAATACAGTAAATACTGTAATAGTACCCCACTCCCATAAGGACGGTGCGGAGTGTTGGGTAGTCTAGCTTTGAAGGAGGTTTTCTCGACACTGGTTTATGCTACAATGCTCTCTTTGGTATCAAAAAATAGCCCTGAATTTCAGCTATTTTTTGATACCTAAGCGCGCATTGTAGCATAAACTAGTGTCGAGAAAAAACGAGAAAAAAAATGAATGAACATTCAAGGCCTACTTTACCCAAAAGCAACCAGCCACTAGGCAACTTTTTACAAAAAGATTCCTAAAAATTCGCGGTTCAGTAGATTACAACTCTACAACTCTATCTTTTCTATCATATAACGCATTGAACCAGTTAAAGCCAGCTCCCTAAGCCAGCTAGAATCCCTAAGCCAGCTAGAATCCCTAAGCCAGCTAGAATCCCTAAGCCAGCTGGAATCTCTAAGCCAGCTGGAATCCCTAAGCCAGCTAGAGTCCCTAAGCCAGCTGGAATCTCTAAGCCAGCTAGAATCCCTAAGCCAGCTAAAAGCCAGATCAATCTAGAACAACTCCAGAGTTAAGTGTAAATAATAAAACAAAAATCTTTCTTGAATTGATGGATTCTTTTTGAAGAAACTCGAGTTAAACCCTTTCCGAGAACTTTCTTTTCAACTTAATAGCTTACAATAGCCTAATAGCTGGTTAGCCTTATTGTTAGCTTTTCTAGCGTTAGCTTCTCTAGCGTTAGCTTCTTTAGCGTTAGCTCCTCTAGCTTTAGCTCCTCTAGCTTTAGCTCCTCTAGCTTTAGCTCCTCTAGCTTTAGCTCCTCTAGCTTTAGCTCCTCTAGCTTTAGCTCCTCTAGCTTTAGCTCCTCTAGCTTTAGCTCCTCTAGCTTTAGCTCCTCTAGCTTTAGCTCCTCTAGCTTTAGCTCCTCTAGCTTTAGCTCCTCTAGCTTTAGCTCCTCTAGCTTTAGCTCCTCTAGCGTTAGCTTCTCTAGCGTTAGCTTCTCTAGCGTTAGCTTCTCTAGCGTTAGCTTCTCTAGCGTTAGCTTCTCTAGCGTTAGCTTCTCTAGCGTTAGCTTTTCTAAGTGCTCATCTAAGCCTCAAAAACCAACTTCCCAATACAGCTTTCCCTTTAAAATCTATTAAAAACATATGAAATTCTTGAAATCAAACCTAAACACATCAAATCTTTCGTCAAATCAAATGAAATATTTAGTGAACTGAGCGAGAACGCGAATATTTTCAAAGACATGCAACTTCTCATCACTCTCATCAATCCTTTTCTTTACGGGTTTACACATTGAATGTTTGTTCTTTTGTTTTTTTATGTTTTTTTTTATGTTTTCTTGATCTTTACTCTCAATTTTATACTTAACAAATGTAATTTTTAAAATTTTGAATAAAAAAGTTGTCAAGTAAAAGGAGTAAAAGGAGATAAAGGAGAGATTTTTGAGGAAAATTTTGTTTCTATCAAAAATCTTCTTCGGTAGCTTTTAGAGCATAGAGCTTAAACTACTTAAAGTTCAAGAGCTTCTCCTTTTTCTTTTTTGTTAGCTGTTAAAGCATATGGTAGTTAAAGTAGTTGTAGTTAAAGTAGCTTTATCTAAAGTTCAAGAGCTTCCCCTTTTTCTGTTTTCTTAGCTGTTAAAGCATACGGTAGTTAAACTAGCTTTACTTAAAGTTCAAGAGCTTCCCCTTTTTCTGTTTTGTTAACTTTTAGAGCATACATTAGTTGATCGGCTCGATAAAAGGCACCTACCGTATCCCTTAGCTACGTTAGCTTACAATGATCCAGTAATGAGAGAAGAATGAGAAGTTCTATTAAAAGAATTAGAAGATCTATTAGAAGAATTACGGTAACCAAAAAAAAAAACCTAAAGTTCAAGAGCTTCTCCTTTTTCTTTTTTGTTAGCTGTTAAAGCATATGGTAGTTAAAGTAGCTTTATCTAAAGTTCAAGAGCTTCCCCTTTGTCTGTTTTGTTAGCTGTTAAAGTATACGGTAGTTAAAGTAGCTTTACCTAAAGTTCAAGAGCTTCCCCTTTTTCTGTTTTGTTAGCTGTTAAAGCATACGGTAGTTAAAGTAGCTTTACCTAAAGCTCAAGTACTTTAGCTTTCCCTTTTTCAATAGCTTTTTCTTTCTCAATAGCTTTTTCTTTTCCACTAGCTTTTAGAGCATACAATAGCTGTACTTAAAGCTCAAGAACTTTAGCTTTTTCTTTCTCAATAGCTTTTAGAGCATATAGTATCTTTAATTAAAGTTCAAGTACTTTAGCTTTCCCTTTTTCAATAGCTTTTAGAGCAAACGGTAGTTAAAGTAGTTGTAGTTCTAGTTCAAGAGCTTTAGCTTTTTCTTTCTCAATAGCTTTTTCTTTTCCACTAGTTTTTAGAGCATACAAGCATTTTAGAGCATTTCTTTTAGAGCTTTACTTAAAGTTCAAAGAGTAATGCAACTTTTTCACCTTTTTCAAAGATTTTCTTTAGAATACAATTTTTGTTCGGCCAGTTCAGCCAACAGCCATTTAAACAGTCATTTAAACAGCCATTTAAACAATTGAAGCTCATCAAAACTTCTAAAACAATCCTAAAAGCTAAAAGCTAAAAGCTTAAACAATCCTAAAAGCTAAACAATCCTAAAAGCAAGATCAAAGCCTCAGAAAATCAATTAGCATCCAAAATCAAGCCTACTTTACCCAAAAACCTCCTTCCACTAGACAACTTTTTGCAAAAACATTCCCAGAAATCCGCGATTCAGTAGATTTTTGCTGATTTATCCCCAAAAAACCCCGGTGAAAACTTGTTTTTAATCGTTTTTTGCTAATTTTTCTTTAATTTCAATGTTTTACATATCATTTTCATTCATTTTTGTGGGATTTGCCTGAAAATTGCTCGCCAAATCAATGTTTTTTCAAGATTTTTCAAGATTTTTCCACGAAAATCACCGATCTTCCTCATTTTTTTTGAAATTTTTAATCTATTTTTGGTATTTTTGGTTTTTTTAAAGGTGAAAAATGTAAATTCATTTAAAAAATGATAAAATTATCAAAATTTACGCGAAAAATGCAATAAAGATTATATAAATAGACGTTTAAAATGAAGATTTAAAAACAAATTCTGATGCTTGTTGGAACGCTTCTTTTAAAGTATACATCAAACAACAATACGAAGACAATACGATACGATCGATGCGATAATAATATGATCACTAGGTGTTTCACCGCATGCCTGGAGGGACGGCCAAATTCGCAAAGCCAGCAAAGCAGATGTTCGTTGGAACACTCCTTTTAAAGTATATGTTCCGTCCTATCTAGAAATCCGTCAGCTCTAGACTGATTCTAGCCGCTCTAGACTGATTCTAGCTGCTCTAGACTGATTCTAGCTGCTCTAGACTGATTCTAGCTGCTCTAGACTGATTCTAGCTGCTCTAGACTGATTCTAGCTGCTCTAGACTGATTCTAGCTGCTCTAGACTGTTCTGCTGCCTAGACTGATTCTGCTGCTTTAGACTGTTCTAGCCGCTCTAGACTGTTCTAGCTGCCTAGACTGATTCTGCTGCTTAGACTGATTCTAGCCGCTCTAGACTGTTCTGCTGCTTAAGACTGATTCTGCCGCCTAGACTGTTCTGCTGCCTGACTGTTCTGCTGCTTTAGCTGTTCTAGCCGCTCTAGACTGATTCTAGCTGCTTTAGCTGTTCTAGCCGCTCTGCTGTTCTGCTGCTTTACCGTTCTAGCCGCTCTAGCTGTTCTGCTGCTTTCCTGTTCTGCCGCTCTGACTGTTCTGCTGCTCTGACTGTTCTGCTGCTCTGACTGTTCTAGCGTTTAGACTGATTCTAGCCGCTCTAGACTGATTCTAGCCGCTCTAGACAAATGCAATAAAGATTATAAAATGAGACTTTTAAAATGAAAGATTTGAAACAAATTTTGATTGTTTTTGTTGTGGTGAGTGGATAGGGAATTGGTAATTTCGTTTTAAGCTTTCGTTTAATCCAAAGAGCTTTCGATTAAGAAGTGCTATTAATTCCAATAATGCATTAACAGAAGTAGTAGTAGATTTTGTGTGTCTGTTTGATGCGATTGACTCGCTTACAGTTTACTTGTTTACAGTTTACTTGTTTACAGCTTACTCGCTTACAGTTTACCCCCTTACAGCTTACTCTCTTACAGCTTACTCTCTTACAGTCTACTCCCTTACAGTTTACCCCCTTACAGCTTACTCTCTTACAGTCCACTCCCTTACAGTTTACCCCCTTACAGCTTACTCTCTTACAGTCCACTCCCTTACAGTTTACCCCCTTACAGCTTACTCTCTTACAGTTTACTCGCTTACGGGATCCCAGTTAGCGTTTATTCAGAATAATGTAAAGAAAAATGTAGAACCAAATGGTAGGGAGCGAAAAACGCAATAAAGATTACAAAATGAGACGTTTACACTGAAGATTTGAAACAAATTTTGATAGTTTTTGTTCGAAAATAAAACGATTGGGGCACTGGCTTTGAAAAGAGTTCGATTTTGAGCGAAAACCGAAGTTAAACAGGTACTTTTTTTCTTCAAAACCTCTAAATCTTCCGGGGTTACTGACTTTTTTAATCTACAAAGCTATAAAAAAATGAGACAGAATCGTTTTCAGCTGCTCCCAAACCTCACCACAGAAAAAGAAATTCTGATTCTTTTTCTAGATTTGTTGATAAATTTAGTTTGTACAAATCCTTATGTACAAATTGGCCGCCTTATATACGTCTTATATACGAGTTGACCGCCTTATATACGAGTTGACCGCCTTATAAACGGTTTATGTACAAATCGGCCACCTTATATACGAATTGGCCGCCTTATATACGCTTTCTATACAAATTGGTCGCCTTATATACGTCTTATATACGAGTTGGCCGCCTTATATACGCTTTATATACGAATTGGGCGCCTTATTTACAAATCGGCCGCCTTATATACGAATTGGTCGCCTTATATACGTCTTATATACGAGTTGACCGCCTTATATACGCTTTATATGTGAATTGGGCGCCTTATATACAAATCGACCGCCTTATATACAAATTGGCCGCCTTATATACGCTTTATATACGAGTTGGCCATCATTCTTTTGTTAGTTTTAGCTTTACTTGGAAAAGGGAACTCAGCTTTAAAAGCTTTAAAAGCTTCTTTTTCCAGTGCATGACAGGTAGTTTGGTGGCCTACTGGATAACGCGTAGGACTCCCGTAACGCGTAGGACTCCCGTAACGCGTAGGACTCCCGTAACGCGTAGGACTCCCGTAACGCGTAGGACTCCCGTAACGCGTAGGACTCCCGTGACTCCCGTAACGCGTAGGACCCGTAGGACTCCCGTAACGCGTAGGACGCGTAGGATTCCCGTAACGCGTAGGATTCCCGTAACGCGTAGGATTCCCGTAACGCGTAGGATTCCCGTAACGCGTAGGATTCCCGTAACGCGTAGGTTCCCGTAACGCGTAGGATTCCCGTAACGCGTAGGATTCCCGTAACGCGTAGGACGCGTAGGACTCCCGTAACGGGTAGGCGTAGGACTCACAAGACCAGAGTTCGGTCCCAGCTTTTACTTTTTCTAGCATTTTGCAGCTAATTAGCAAGGGACTTTGAATACTTTACTCAAATTTGGACAGTTGAAGAGAAGTTGAAGAGAATAGCTTCTATTGAAGAGAAAACAAGGCAATTACCTCTGTTAAACTTTACTATCCGATTTTAATGTAAAAAAAAACATAAATTTAATAAAATCCTTTAGTTTTTTCTATCAAAATTTCTCTTTTTCATTATTTTTTCGAATTCGAAATCTCTGTTTTGATCATCGAGATGGAAATCACTTTTTTTTCTTACTTTAAATTAAAAGTTCATCCGGAAAAAACATCCAATCAAGCGTCTAAATTGAGATTTCGTCTTTGCGTTCGGATTTTGAAAAGAAAAGAAATTGCAAGGATTTTGAAAAAGCAAAATCTTGGTTTACCCAACTTTGTTTCTTTGAAGTCAATAATATTTGCGTCAAAAGAGTCTCTAGAGAAGCTTTTCGTTAAATTTTTATAGCTTTCAACTACTGTATTGGTTTGCTAACGAAACATTTTCATTGTTGAAACTAAGCTTTCATTTGGATTCCATTCGTTGATCTAAAGATTCCTTCATGTTCTAAACAAACTCAAGCTCTTGTTCGTTTGTTTGTTCGTTCGTTTATTCGTTCGTTCGTTCGTTTGTTCGTTCGTTCGTTCGTTCGTTTGTTCGTTTGTTCGTTTGTTCGTTTGTTCGTTTGTTCGCTTGTTCGCTCGTTTGTTTGTTTGTTTGT